AAAAATGGAGCATGGAGAGAAAATGGAGGCATTCATTAACTCAACAGAAGAAATGGGAGGAGGGTTCATGGTAAGGCCAATAAGAACCATTAAGTTTCACTGAGTTTGTTTTTTATCATTTTTTAAATTTTTCTTTAAATTGTTAAAGATAGCCTATGTTCATTATAAAAAAGATAAATAAAACCACAAAAAATATTGTATTTTTGTATGTGCCCTTTATTTAGAAGAGACTACACTGTTCATACTTTTCAACACTGCTTTTAACATAACAATACATTACAAGCATCTTTTCATTCTGTTTACTATTTTACAACTGATATTTACATACATCTGAATAGGTGTATATCATGATTTTAAAACTGAATTGAAAAAAAATAAAATAAAACTGAATTGATTTAATTAATTTAATAAAGTATGATAAATTTTTTAAAAAGTTTTTTAAAAAATACCATGGGCTACAAGTATAACTCAAATGGTAGAGCACCAGCTGAGCAAGAAAAATCCCAATACCAGCAAAAATAATCATTAAAGCATACACAGAGCCACGGAGCTCAGTTGTACAGCACCACCTAGCATGCACAAGGCTCTAGCTTTGATCCCCAGCACTGGAGAAGAAAAAAAATAGTAAAAGCACATTTTGCCTTGCTCATCCCTCTAACTGTCTTAAGTTTAATAAGAAGCAGACACTACTACCAGCTTTTTGTGATCCTTCCATTTTTTTTGTGACCATTCTATAAATGTTCCAGAAACATACAAGTACATATATGTTTTTCTTTTTAAGTGGTAAAAATGCACACAATTTTTGTACCTTACTTTTTTCTTTGCAATCAGTCAAAACATATACCTACTGCTTTTAGTGGCAGAGTGTTCTACTGTGTGGATGGCTATACAATACTGCATTCATTTAGTCCCTTTAAATGAACATTTGAAATATTTCCATAACCTTTAAGTGTAAATGTGCATATAGCTGTGTGTGTAACTCTATAGGAAAAATTGCTAGAGAAGCTGGGTACCAGTGGCTCAAGTCTATAAACCTACCTACTAAGGAGAACTGAAAATCATAGTTTGGAGGCAGCCTTAATACAAAAGTCGGGGAGACTATTATCTCCAAAATAACTACAAAAAGTACAGAACTGGAAACATAGTTCAACTGTGTCAGTCATAGCAACAAAACTGAGCAAGAAAACAGAGTACCAATGGCTCAAACCTGTAATACTAGCTACGCAGAGGAAGCTGAGACTTGATGATGGTGGTTTGAAGCCAGCCCAGGCAGAAAAGTTTCCATGAGACTCATCTCCAATTAGCCACTCAAAAACCCAAAGTGGAGCTGTGGTTCAAAGTGGTAGAGTGCTAGCCTTGAGCAAGAGCTCAGGGACAGCACCCAGGCTCTGAGTTCAAAGCCCACAGGTGACAAAATTAAAAAAAAGACTGAGCAAGAATGTGAGGCCCTGAGTTCAAGCACTAGTACTAGGACACACAAACTGCAGAGAAGGAAATTTGAGGGCAAAAAGGTATGTATATATTTTTAAATTCAATAGATGACTACCACAGTGCCCTTCATATAGGTAGCCCTAATTTCCACTACTGCTAACCACAAATGAAAATGTCTATGGCTTTACCTGTGGCTGCCCAGCAGATACTGCTCCACATCTCTCTCCTAACCCCTACTACCACATGCACATACAGTGCACATGAATGAGATCAAGTTCTGGCCAATTAAAGAAAATATGAATGAGTATGGAGATTATCTGTTTCACATCCAGGCCAAGGTAACTGAGAAGGAAGGTACATCCTCCACTCTGTTTTGCAATTCTACCAGAAAGGAACATAAGAGTTCAAGGCCCTAGGGACTGGCAATGTCATAAGATTGAAGGAACTCGGGTGTCTGAACTACCATAAAGAGAAAAAATGTCTATTGTCTAATATACCATGACACTCTCAGGACATGCTAGGGAACGCTGTTCAAGTACTTCAATGTCAATTTTCAATGTTAACTATGACACTGCTCTTAAGAAAGTATTTCCTGGATTACTAACAGTTGCTTTTTTCTAAGCTAGATTTGCTATTGATTTATCAAATATGTTTGCCATGCCTGTGGTTTTTTTCTTTCATTATTTAAAGTGACATATTTTATCATTACTTGCCAAAGTTGGAATAACCTCACATTTCTAAAATAAACTATTTCATTTCTATGTTTTACTTTTATATGCTGTTGAATGTTCAGGAATAGCCAGAACAAAATAATAGATTGGAAAATTTCTTAAGCATGATTTATAAATTCTAAATTCCAACTGAAGAAATAAAAAGTATAATAGACTCTTACAAAGAACAAATTTGTGATTTGGAAAGCAAGTTAGTATCACACTGTCTAAAAATAAATAAATAAGAATAGAAACCCAAATGAAAAGAGAATGAGAGGGCAAGTCTAGGAAGTCTAACTGGAAATAAAAAGAAGTTCCAGTGAGAGAAGCCCACACTGGAAAAGTATTCTAGACCATACTGGAAAACCTGATCATCAAAACACAATATAAGTAAACTTCTCTCAGGAGGAGACAAGAGTTAATAGGTCCAAAGGACTCAGTATCCTAGATATACCCTAGAGAAATTTCTGAGCTTTAAGAATATAGAAAAACCATAAGATTTCACAAAAGTTACATACAAACAAAACAGGGATGAGGCTATCACTGAAGGACTAAGAAGAAAGGGTGAAGTTTTGGTGTGAACTTGGCAACTGACCTAAGATGGTGACAATACTTAGCTTCTAAGCTAGGCTGGAAAATAAATTTAACATAATCCATAGAAGAATCTTGCACATAGTTCAAGTCCCTATACTTGCATCTATATCAGTGAGTTGATTATTTTGCAGACTTTTGAGAGAGCAAAAGTCTGAATCCTCCCCTAGAACTCAATGGAGAACAGGTCTAAAAAACTGTATAATAAGCCTACCCTGACACCTCAAATAGGAGCTGAGTCCCATATAAATAAAAGTGAATTGATGGATAGGAGTCTCCTTAACAAAGAGAACCAGTGGTTATTGGTAATGAAAATGTTGTAGGCTGTCATGAGAAATGGACTCATCAGTGAGTCCATTATCTCCAAAAAATCAATGGAGCCAGTCACTGGTGGCTCATGCCTGTAAGCCTAGCTACTCAAGAGGCTAAGATCTGAGGATCATGGTTCAAGGCCAGCCTGGGCAGAAAAGTCCATGAGACTCTTATCTCCAATAAACCACTCAGAAAACCGGAAGTGGCACAGTGGCTCAAGTGGTAGAGTGCTTACCTTGAGCTGAAGAGAGGAGGGACAGCTCCTAGGCCCAGAGTTCAAGCCCCATGACAAAAAAAAAAGTTAATGGAATGAAAAAATTCTACCCATCATCCAAGACCTTCCAAAATGTGACACTGAGGCTTGTCCTCAAAATATTATTTCATTCACACACCAAGTGTTGTCTGACCACATGTATTCTGTGTCAAAAATCACACTGTGGATCTAACTGTATAAAAGACACATCAGGTCTTAACCTCCAAATATTTTCATACAAGAATCATCTGAGCTTCCATGACCCAAATTGGAATGTCTATACAACATAGGAAACTGATTATGTTGTCTCACTTGTGCGTAAAGCTCACTTACAACATGCCTTCCAGTCTCCCTCTACTAAGCCACTTTAACCCAATTACACAAAAAATTAAAAGGTTGACAGTTTTAATGTTGCTAGTTACACAAAATTGAATATTTGAGCTTAATTTAGTCATTTGGGAGTTTTTTTGGAGGGGGGTTGGTTGTTTTTTTGTCATGGGCCTGAACTCTGGGCCTGGGTGCTATCCCTCAGCTCTTCAGCTCAACGCTAGCATTCTACCACTTGAGCCACAATGCCACTTCCAGCTTTTTCTGCTTATGTGGTGCTGAGGAATCAAACTCAGGGCCTCATGCATGCAAGGCAAGAACTCTACCACTGAGCCACTATTCAGATCTACTATGAGTCTTTAAAAGCCCAAAGACTGCATTTTTATTACAATTTTTCTGACCCCTAACCTTTGAGGTACTTTATACATTTTGTTTTCTAAATGGGTTAATAATACTATCCACAATCACCTTCCCAGCCCCAATTTTTTTTTTTGTCGGTCGTGGGGCCCACTTCCAGCTTTTTCTGCTTATGTGGTGCTGAGGAATCAACCCAGGGCCTCATGCATGCAAGGCAAGCACTCTACCACTGAGCCACCTTCCTAGCCCAGTCATTTGTTTTTATAATTTTGTGAATCTAAAGTTAGCCTAACAATTCGGTAGAACTCAAGATAAATACTTCATTTCTCTGTGCTAACACTATCTTTTGGAGAAAATAGAAAATATCACATCTTTCACCTTACAGCAATTGATTCTTTCTTCAGCTACATCCGAGATATTTGACTTCTGAAAGTTAACATGTACTTACTAAGCACTTTGCACCAACTAGAAATATTTTGAATGTTCCTCTCTATCTTCTGATTAAAATATTCCTTAGTCTCCTTTCCCATCTTCATAAAGAAACTTATTTCCTCATCTAGAAATAAATGCAATAATGAATGTAGTAGGCTGAATGGAAAGCCGGAGCTCTGATATGTCTACAAAGGTCTTTACAGATAACACTGTTAAGGATCTTCAGATGAAAGGATTCTGGATTTACCATAGTGGACCTAAATCCAATGACAAGTAGATTTCTTTAAAGTCCATTCTTATTAGAGAAAAGCAGAAAGAGATTTGAGGCAGACTGAAGAGATGACATTGAAGAGAAACCAAGAAGGCAGAGAACAGAGTGAGAAGGCCGTAAGACAATGGATTCCAACCGCTAAGGAAGTTCAATCTTGCCAACACCTTGATTGTAGACTTCTGAATTCTGTAACTGCAAATAAATTTCCATTGGAGTGTTTTGTTGTAGCAACCATAGGAAACTAACACAATGAATATATGCATTTTTGGGAGAGACCAAGGATTCAAGTCCCAGTCGTTATTTAGGGACTATTTACCTTACTTTAGCAAGTCTGTGAACTTCTCAGAGCCTCCAAATGTGTACCACTATCCTACAGAATTCTTGAAAAGAATCAAATGAGATCATGTACAGGTGGATAGTCAGAGTATTGTAAAATCTTACACAAATATGAACTATTATTCTTAAACTTTACCTGGAATTTCAAATGAGGTTTACAGCCTGAGTTTGTTATTTAAGCTCATTTCCTGAAACCCTTTACATAGCTCAATACTTGTCTAATTTCAGCAGTGCCAACATCATATCAATTCTTTTTTTTTCTTTTTGTCAGTCATTGGGCTTGAACTCCGGGTCTGGGCGCTGTCCCTCAGCTCTTCAGCTCAAGGCTAGTGCTCTACCACTTGAGCCACAGCACCACTTTCAGTTTTCTGGTGGTTAATTGGAGATAAGAGTCTCACAGACTTTCCTGACCAGGCTGGCTTTGAACCATGATCCTCAGATCTTAGCCTCTTGAGTAGCTAGGATTACAGGCATGAGCCACCAATGCCCAGTTATCCTATCAATTCTTAATAGAATTAGACTGTCCTAATGTATACAGCATTTCTTTAATATTAGAATTTAATGAAGAGGCTCTAATTAACCTTATCAGCCCTGCACTTCCTTTGACATCCTTTACTACCATCACATATTAATTTTAGCAATTTTAATTGGTTTATTACTCTCATGTATATTAACTAGTTTAAACAGTTTCCTTGCAATCCTTTACTACCATCACATATTAATTTTAGCAAAGAGATCATTTAATTGGTTTATTACTCTCATGTATATTAACTAGTTTAAACAATTTCCTTGCAATAATATATGTGAACTCACATAACCATAATTCTGTAATTGACCTTAATTATTCCATACTGATTTTTTCTCAGCTAAGAATGAGCCATCGATAACTTCTTCCTCCTATTTCTGGTTTTCCCCAACAGGTGGGTCCTGATCTACTGTTGGACCTAGTTCTTCTTTCCTGAAACTAAATTTGTTTATAAAATATAACCACAAACTAAGAATATTAGTTCCATAAAAATTAATTTCACAACTCTAAAATTTCATTTTGTCGGGGCTTGGAAGGTGGCCCAGTGGTAGAGTGCTTGCGTTGCACGCATGAGGCCCTGGGTTCGATTCCCCAGCACCACATAAGCAGGAAAACAAAGCCAGAAGTGGCGCTGTGGCTCAAGTGGTAGAGCACTAGCCCTGAGCTGAAGAGCTGAGGGACAGTGCCCAGGCCCAGAGTTCAGGCCCACGACTGGACCAAAAAAAAAAAAATTTCATTTTGTCCATGTACACATAAAGTATGCATTTATAGTTTCTAGAGAATTTTCTCGCTACTATATCATAAGAAACATTACCAAACTTATTAAAGGCTGGGCTACTGCAAGCTTCAAATTTCTTCAGGACAATGATGTTCAACATTTAAAATAAAGAAATGGCATGCTGATGAATGTCATTTTATACCAAAACTTATTTTCTTGTGCCTTAATCATTCATATTTATATTAGAGATGCGACACTGAAATTTCCCTTAGATATATACAACACAGAGCATCAGAAAAAAAATTTATTCATTGAAATTTTGACTCTTCTGAATAATTCGTTCTAGAAAGAAGTTACATCAAGGAAAACTTGAATGGACTTTGAGATTTACAAATAATCATAACTGTTATCATCAACAGCATACACCCATAAGTATCTTCATAAGAAGATACTTATCATAAGAAACCTTGTTTTAATAGACTTAACTTCACTGCCTTTCCATAAGTAGTAATTAAATCACTTCTAAAATGTGAATCTGGTCATCAGAATTACCATAAAAAGTTTCAAATCAAAATTCATACTTAGAAAATCCATAGCTGGGGGCTGGGAAGGTGGCTCAGTGCTAAAGCGCTTGCCTTGCATGCCTGAGGCCCTGGGTTCGATTCCTCAGCACCACATAAGCAAAAAGAAAAAAGCCGGAAGTGGCGCTGTGGCTCAAGTGATA